ATTTTGCAAAAATGGTTGAAACTCAATTTTCACAGCGCATCAAAACTTTTCGATCTGATAATGCTCTTGAATATACTCAAAATGCCTTTCAAAATATCCTTCGTTCCTATGGCACTATTCATCACCTTAGTTGTCCAGGGACCTCTCAGCAAAATGGTCGAGCCGAGCGAAAACTTCGTCATATTCTTGACACTGTTCGTGCTCTCCTTCTCTCTGCAAAAATTCCCTCTCCATTTTGGGGTGAAGCTGCCTTGAATGCAATTTATGCTATCAATCGTTTACCAAGTCCTGTTATCCAAAATGAAACTCCATACGAGCGACTCTTTATGAAATCTCCAGACTATCATCACCTTCGCTCTTTTGGTACTGCTTGTTTTGTTCTTCTTCAACCACACGAACACAACAAACTCGAGCCTCGATCTCGCCTTTGTTGTTTTCTTGGTTATGGAGAAACTCAAAAGGGCTATCGGTGTTATGATCCTATCTCTCATCGTCTTCGTGTCTCTCGTCATGTTGTCTTTTGGGAACATCGTCTTTTTGTTGAACTCTCACATTTTCGTCCTTCTTTAAGTGCCTCACCCGAGTTAGATATATCTTTGGACGAGTCTCCTTCTCCTATCGACTTGTTTGAAAATACTTCTACTCCTCGCTCCAGCCCAACCCTAAATGAACAGGTGGAAAATGAACAGGTCGCACACGAACTGCCCAGTTCTGAACATGAGTCCCTTGCTCCTGCTCCGCTTGAGGATCCTACAGACCATCTACCGCCTCGCCATTCAAATAGGGTAAGATCTATTCCTTCTCATCTACTTGATTATCATTGTTACACTACTCTTGCCACTTTGCACGAACCTAACTCCTATCATGAGGCTTCCACCGACCCTTTATGGCAGAATGCCATGAGAGAGGAACTTGATGCATTATCTAAAAACCATACTTGGGATCTTGTTACTCTCCCTCCGGGACAGTCTGTTGTTGGGTGTAAGTGGATCTACAAGATCAAGACTCGCTCTGATGGATCCATTGAGCGATATAAGGCTCGTCTTGTTGCAAAGGGTTTTACTCAAGAGTATGGAATCGATTATGAGGAGACTTTTGCTCCAGTTGCTCGAATCTCCTCAGTTCGCGCTCTCTTGGCCGTTGCCGCTGCTAGTCAGTGGGATCTATTTCAGATGGATGTTAAAAATCATTCTAAA